TCCAATCTCCTTCCTGTGTGTCCGAAGTGCTGCAGCCACGGTGTTAACGATGGTGTTACTTGACATTGGCGATCCTGCGCAATCCTTCAAGCCTTGATTGGCTCCGGCTGCAGGCTAGGGCGCGCTCTTGGCCGGACACTGCCGGCTACGCTGATGTTGGATCTCCCCACTGTGAAGGCTGGGGGTCCGGTTTGGTGACCAGAGCAGAAGTAGCGAATCTTCCTTCCGCTTGCTGCCTTGAGCTGTCAGCTCGAAAGATCTCGAAGCCAGTCTGGGCGGGAGAGTGTCGGAAGGTGTGGGTGTGCTTGTGCTGCTAGTCCAGGAGCTGACCGAGCACCTCGACAAGGAGCGCGGCGTGAGCGCTCACCCAGCCCGGCGCCGCCAGCTTCTCCTTGTCTTCACTAGGGGTGCTAGTAGTGGGGCCCGACAAAAGGCGAGCTGAGGAACTGTGGAAGGGCGTTTGTGCTTTGAGAGGGCTGCAGCTGGCCCGCGCCGAACTTTTTCCCTTGTTTCAATGATTTTGGAATAGCAGATCCTTGGCCCGTCAGGTGCCGCCGAAGCCGAAGCCATTACGGCTCACACCGAGGCCATCGCCATCTGCTGCAAATCTGCGGTCGAGTTAGAAAGCCCCGGCCATCAAGCAACGTTTGGCACTGGATTGCTAAAACCGTTCATGGTGGATCCGGAGTTGAGGGCGCTTCGAGACCAGCCCGATTGCACAGAAACGAAGTGAGTAAGATTGAACTGATGTACCTGCTGTGACGTTTCGAAGGTAGGAGGGCAGCTCGCCGCTCAACGACTCCCGGGCCATCTGGGCATCGCCTTTACAAGAATCTAACCGAATCTAACTCGTAGCCGTAGCCGATGGAGCCTACCGGGTGTAGAGTCTACGGACTTTGCTCCCAAGAGGATGAGAACTCTTGAGGGCGCCCAGCGCGAGTGCGCCGTCACTGCTCCACGGTCAGGTCATCGAGGAGCGGCGCGAGCGCCCGGAGCGTCGCACAGAGACTTGGCAGGCTTATGGCAATGAGTGTTATGAATGGTATTGCATACATATATATACACATACATACACATAGTGTAGACAGTATCATGTTTGGGGCCTGGCCTCGGCCTCGGCTTTTCCTGTCGCAGGAGCGTGCCAGCGACGAGACCATCACCGAGTGGGTCCGCTGCTGGCGTCAGTACCTCTATGCAGGCTTCTTTTGTCCTTTGTTGTCTTTGGTTCTCTTCTTCGAAGCGCCCGCGCAGGGCATCGTAGGACTGCTGCGGACTGCGGCACAATGCGCATGCTGGCGTGCGCGCGCAGAGTCTTCCTTCGCCGCGCGTCTGCAGGCGCGGCAGCGCAGCGCCTCCCCGCGGCAGCGCCGCTCACGCAGCACAGGGCCAGGGAGGAGTCGAGGCGAGAGCGGGTCGCGCGGCCCTGCTCTCTTCGAAGTCTTAGCCTGCCAGGATTTTCAGCTTTTGTCGGCGGGATGCTGTCATGTGGCCCCTACATATGTTAGTGCGTGCACGTGTTGACAGGAGGTGATGTGGCCGAAATGCGCTGCTCAAGTGAAAGGGTAGTTCCGGGCCATGCGCTGGGAGGCGATTCTTAGTGCCTGGCTGCTTCAGTGCTTCGACAGGAAGGCACCGATCACCTGCCCAGCTCCTGAGCCCTGTCATTGTGAGTGCCTGGTCGAGTTCACACCGGGCGAGACTGGGCCCAGCAAGGCTGTAGTTGCAGGAGCTGGATCTGCGGGAGCTCTCATTGGAGTTGCGGCTACCTTGGCATTGAGTAAGCGCCCCACCTCAGCCTCACTTAAGTCTCCGGGCGGCAGCCCCCGAAGGCGGGGCTATGGGGTCGTGGTTGAACCTGGTGCTGGGCCAGATCGTGATAACCTGGTACTGAGAGGCTGCTCCTATGGCGGCATTCAGATGGATTGTGGATGATACTAACTCCTGACGACGACCGTTACGTGGAGGTTGCTCGAGCAGTCGAGGCAGGACTTGAAGGCGGAGCCAGGGTTCGACGAGACTTGGGTTCCGAGCCATGTGCAGGGACTGGATGGCAGCCTGACAGACTGGGCAGTATTCTCGCCGAGCAGCCCACCTAGGAGGCGTCTGATGACAAAGACCAATCTTGGGGGTATTGGCGCGCCGGTGGGTCGCAGCCCTTTCGAGGCAGCACAGTTGGCACCAGACGGCAAGGCCTCGAGCACTTTGCCGGCCACACTGTCGGTGAGGAGGTGCTTGTGGACCCGGCCCGGGATTACATGATCGGCGGCCCCACCGCCCTTATCAAAGTCGACGGGGGCTGGCTGAAGGCGGAGCTGGTTGAGGTCGTTGACGGGCCAGCCTTTAAGCAGAGGAGGACCCCCCCGCCTGAGCCGAGGGACGATGCGGCCGTCATTGAGGAGGTTGCTGGAGACGATGTGCAGGCCGGAGCCGGGGACCCCGGCGATGCCAGGACCTTATATATAGACTACGATGCACAGGGAGTGAGGTATAAGCCTTGGAAATCGGTAGTACAAGAGGCCTCGGACTTTGGCAATCAGGATTGGCCTCACGAAGGCCCCTCGACGGTCCTTCACCTGATTAAGGCGATGGAGCGGCAGTCTGGTGATCCAAAGCAGTGGCTTGAGGCCTGGTGTCGCTGTCGCAACGTGGCGGAGACTGACCGCATCAAGCATGAGCTTAGAACCCTAGTCGAGGCGATCTGGCTGGCCGGGACCTTTGATCAACTGAATCTGCCTGTGATCGCCGCCCTGGGGGAACGCGAAGATCTTCGTGAACTACCGTGGCCCGGAGGACATCATTATGCCACAGTTGCGCAGCTATGCTGCCCGTAAGGGAAAGGAGGAAGCTGATCTGCATCAAGCCCGGTCTCGAGTCAGGCACCTCAAGAAAGGCAGCGCCACCGAGGAGGCGGCGGATGCTTTGGCGGATGGTAGTGTTGCGCCCCGTGCGAAGGCCAAGGTCAAACCACGTGGTGGCCGGCGTCTGGAGGCGCCGAAGGACCAGTGAGCTTAGCAGCAGTCATGCCCAGCCCTGGGGCATGCTGCGGTCCGGGCGTCAGGGCACCGTCGGGCCTGGATGGGCCCTCTCTTTGCACGTCCCTCCCCTTGCCTATGCCTGCTGAGGAAGGTCCCCGGGCCGCTCATGGTAGGCGGTCGTCGCAGAGAGTGGCGAGGAGATGGAGAATTAGATGCGAGCTGCGGGAAATGGTCGCGGATGCACACCGGCACCTTCTCTTTGGGCGTCGGGATTGAAGATTTTGGGGTCGTGTGGGGTCCTTCGGTTATGCAACGACTGCAGGATCTCATCACCCATGCCGGGCGTTTGGGCTCGATGACCCATATTCCTGGTTGCGAGGCGGCCCTGAGGGAGCTGCTCGCGGGGAGGGACGAGTACGTTACCCCGTCCTCCCCCATCGCGCTTGCGCCCTATAACCTCGAGCTGATATCGCTGCCCGACAGCCTTTCCGGGGCTCCTTCTGCTCTGGAGCTTCTTGGCGGCGAAGACCTTCGTTATTTACAGGAGCACGAGCGAATGATCCAGCTTGAGCCTTTACCTCGTGATGAGATTTCACCTCCATATTGGGACCCTGCGCCCAAGGGCTCTCCTAGGCGATATCGGCAGTTTATACAGCGACTGCATAAGATTGGATACCTGAGGTATACCACCCAGCCTAAAGCTCATGCGGGCGTCTTCTTCGTCTACAAGAGCGACGGGGTCCGACTGAGGATGATAGTTGATGCCAGGCCCGCCAATGGCTTGTTCATGGACCCGCCCGGTGTCTCTCTGTCTACAGCTGAAAGCATCGCTCAGATACAGTATGTGTGCCAGGACCCATCGGATTCCGTCGGTGATGCCGACTCTGGGGGGTCTTTGTGGCACTCTCCGATATCAAGGACTGCTTTCATCGCATTCGGCAGCCAGACTGGTTGGCTAGATACTTTTGCTTTATGCCTGTCGAAGCCAGGGTTGTCGGGCTCTCTGGGGCCACGATTGAGGGACAACGCCTGGATCCGACCAGCTTGGTGTACCCGATGCCAGGTTCGCTTTGTATGGGGTTTTCGTGGAGCCTCTTCTTCGCTCAAAGGATAAGCGAACGGCTCATGACGCAGGTGACGACTCTCAAGAGCAGCTTTCTATCGACTGATCGCGGTCGTCCCATCGTGTTTGACCCCCGGGAGAAGGAGCGCATGAACCATTACGTGTACGTTGACAATTTGGGGGTCATGGCTATGTCTCGGGCACGGGTGTCGCAAGGACTCTCCGAGCTCACCTCCCTAAACAGCAAATTCAGGGCCAAACCTTTCACTTCTCTTGTTCCTTCTTGGACGAGTTGATCGGACTCTAAGTAATTCATTTCGTTAACGTTCTCGACAAGCTCTTCGTCCGGAGGCTCGTGAGGCTGACGGATACCTTGGGTAAAAAATTTGCACATTTGTTGGAAATCGCACGAGAACTGCAAGGATTTCCGTTTTGAAGCCGCATCATGTTGTGTTGAATCCATAGACAATGAAAACATGATGAGTCCGACAAACTTTTGGCGGTTGTATTTGACCAAAATGATTCCAATTTGGAAGGCTTTCGACTCGAGAAAGACGTTCGTGAAAAAGGTTCAAATGTGGAGGGTTGCAAAAATGGTAATCGATGGAAGTTGTGCAGGGCGCCATTCGCACAACATGAGACCAACCTAGTCTGTTTGAGATAGACGCGTAAACAACGTAGCGATTGTTTGTGTGAACTGCCCAACCACCACGACATTCTTGTGTCTGGGACGTTGCACAACCATCAGTTTGACGTGTGAAGCGATCCAAAAAGCACAAGACAAAACACACGTCTTACAGCTGTTTTTGACATGTTTGGGGGTGTTTTGGTTTTGAGCAACAATTCTGCTGAATCAGGAAGATAGTCTCCAGAGAGATGCAGCACGACAACGATTGCATATCTGTTGCCGGCCCAAGTGCAAAAATTACCGGAAAGTTTAAGATTGTGCCAAGGCCCGAAGCATGGACCAGGTCGCATTTCTGCACAGCTGCAGTCTTCTTTGCCTAGCCGTTGCTCTAGCAGCAAGTTGTTTTACGTGCCTATCGGGAAATCGCCCGAACAGCGGCACGAGTGCAGTGGTTGTGACATCATGCCTGTTGTCCTGCTCGGTGATGTGGAGTTTCCCGTATTATGTTGTCTTTGGCATCACGGTGGCAACAGTGGGAATTTCCTTGTCTTCTTTGCATAGTTCACTTCAAAGTCTCTTCCATCAGAAAGAAGCCACCACTATGCCCGCCGCGACCTTGCTGTGGAAAGTGGTGTGTGCCATGCTGAAGCGTGGTGAGCTCGGTCAGGCCATAGTCTGCTTGATATGGGGCGTGCACTGCTTCATCACACACGTGTTGCTGGAGTTGGAGGATCTCGTTCTTGATCTCGCGCCGCAGTGGCAGGGAGAGGTATTTGTGATATTGGGTCATCCTCGAAGTGCCTCAACGCATGTGCATCATATGCTCAGCCAGACGCTGCCAAGCAGTGCGTCGCTGAGTTTCTATGATGTCCTCTTCCCTTCCCTCATCCAGTGGTATTGTATGCAGCCGTTCAAGCCTTTGGTCGACATCTTCCTCAGCCTCCTCGACTCGCCACAGCACCGAATCGCTGTGGATGAGGTTGCTGAAGAACAGCAATGGCTGCTGTTGAAGTTCAAGGACATTTTGTTGCCCATGCTCTTTCCAGCGATGGTGGATGACCCCGAGCTGTTCCGCGCATCCTGCGACTACACCGAAGCAGACATGATGTTCATCAAGGGGTGCATGAGACGCCTTTTGATCCGCAAGCCACAGAGCAAGCTCTACATCGCTCGCATGCTCACTTTCTCACCATGGCCGGAGTACGTCACAACAGCGTTCCCCGATGCCAAGTTCATTGTCTGCCTGAGAGAAACTGAGGAGTGTTTACGATCTTTCGTAAGCCTCGCAGCTGTTCACTCGGGAGGCAACCCGAACACACCGCTCTGCAAGAAGTGGGCTCAGAACTGTGCCGACACGCTCACGAAAGGCACAGTTCGAGGCCTGCAGCGCCTTGTGGATGGCCAGGTGCCAGCCGAATCGGTGATGCAGGTGGGTGGTTGTCAAAATTATGGTCCCTTTTTGGGTACCCTAAATAATAGGTGCCGTATTATAATGACCCAAAAAGGGACCCCAACCACCCAGGTGAACTTCAAAAGCTGGAAGGCCGAGACTCGCGCCTCGCTGATCTGGTTGCTGAAAGAGTTGCTCGATGGGTCAGCTTTTGAAGTCCTTCCTAAGAGTCCTATAAGTAGTAGAGAGGTATAGGGTTTAGGATTTAGGGTTTAGACAGGTATTTATTCATACATCAGTTTGGGCGCCCTTAGACGGAAACCCAGGTTGGGGATGCACGAAGAACTGAAGGCCGTCGAGGGATCAGAGGAAGTGAAGGTGGAGCGCCGCGAACAGCACAAGAGCAGCCCGGATGTGACCGATTGTCTCGAAGGAGTTGACATAGCCAATTGGGCCATCGACGAAATGAACTCCATGATAGAGAAGCTGAAAGTATTCTGAGTAGGAGTAACAGTACCAGCAGTTTCAACAGTGTTTACGGTCATAGCGAAAGCCGTAAGAAGGCAGAATTGGCAGAGTCGTCACCCAGGCTTTCTGGTTTGTTGGCCCGAATTAGCTGTCCGCCGCCAATCCCTGAAAAAGCCGCTTCGTGCGCCAAAGCGAAGGTTCATCCTAGGGCTTGTCCTAAGGGCTAGCCTTGCCTGTGAAGCGGTACCTCCGCAGCACGGGGCGCACTTGTACAGAGAGGGCCGGAGAGAGTGGTTCTTTTGTCAGGCTGACAGCTGCACGCACGACTCAGTTTTCCTGGTCGCTTTGTTCTGTCAATGTGACAGTTGGCAGCTTGCTGCTTGGTTCTTGCCGAGTCCTATTGCCTCGGAAATGCTCTGTGACGCTTGGCCGCGGCTGTACACTGCCAGGCCATGCGCTGTATTTGTATCCTCAATGCATGTGGGAGAGCCTGAAAACAATGTGTTCCCTTGAGGGCTCCTGACGTGGCTGCTCCGGCTTGAGCAGGGGAGTACGAGGCTTCAACCGATCTTCAGGCTCAATGCTCGGGATGTCACAAGTCAGGCGCAATGGCTACAAAGCTCCCACGAACGCAGGTAGCTTTCGCTTGCTTGATCGATGCGACGCATTTTTACACTGTCTGCTCGCTCTTCAGTGACGCGTCTGCGCTAGGGACTGTCCTGACTCAAGTCTTCAGATGTGAAGCGGATCCTGAGATTGGCAAGTCTCCCCCGAAAGTGCATCCTGGGCATTCTGTGTTGTTTAGCAGCCTGGTGTTCCTAACTTTACACTGCCGAGGTTACGCTGGTATCCTATGTGCTGACCTTGGGTGGGTCCCTGACCGAAACGAAGCTGGCTATTTGGCCGGATGGTTGCAGTCCTCAAACGTCTTTGGACGCATGCTGTCATCTTCAATCTGGGGTTACGTTGCTGCACGTCACGGCTTCGACGTCGTCTTGGTTGTTACCTTGACGTCCCTCCTGGTGGGTGGTCTGTTGCAACTTGCTTTCAATCATGGAGTCTGTAGCATTTCGTGCACCAACAATGATTGATCCACGAAGAAGTAGCCGTAGAGTAGCACAGTGCGACTCCAATGCCTGGACGAATCTGTGCCCAAAGCCTACACCAGAAGCCCGAAGTTCGAAATCCGAAACCGTTAAAACTTAAGGCCCTAAACCCCAAAAGCGTCAAGGTTCGGGTTTTGCAAATCGCTTGTACTTGCCATGCTGGTCCGCTTTATGTTCTTTGGCCTGACACACGGCTGGGTTGCCATCATGGGCCCATACTGCGCGAGTGTCGCCGGGGACAAGCGCCAACAAGACGTGATTGGCATTGTCATCGCGGTGGGGACAGGGATGCAGCTTCTAGGTTCCTGTTAAAGAGTTTAGTTTCAGGTACCATAGTACCATAGCAAGGAAACCATATTTTTTACTATAGATCCCTCTAACCCTTTAGTTTCAGGTACCATAGTACCAAAACAATGAAACCATGTTGTTCTTTTTAGTAAAGATCCCTCCAACCCAGGCTTGTGGGGCCTGCCGTCTCCGGTTGGACCTATGGCCTCGTTCCCAGCTTCCCAGCGCTGGTTCCAAGTCTGCTCGGTGCTCTCCTGGCCTTGGTGTCCATCTCCCTCTACTCTCTGCTGCACTGCAGGGCGTCGACGGGGAAGTCGTCGGAGCCTTCGGAGCAGACGGAGAGAGCATCTGCTAGGGAGGAGACGACGACTTCGAGGCGCTCGATGCGACGGACGCTCCGGAGGTGGCCCATCCCGCTGGTGATTTTCATGCGCTTCTGCCAGGGATTCGCACAATTCGCCATCTTCGAAGTTGCTCCACTGTGGATGATCTCGGACAGGGCAGTTGGAGGCTTGCAGATGTCCGAAAAGCAGGTGGGTGTTCTGCTTGCTCGATCTGGCCTTTGGAACATCGTCTACTTCTCCTTGGTGTTGCCCACATTGACGACAAGGCTTGGTGGACGATGCACTTCCATCATCGTGAGTGTCTTCGGCACCATATTTTCGGCTTTGTTGCCGTTCTGCGCCAGCGAGCTGACAGCCAATGTGGCGCACTTGCTTGCGACATCCGCCTTGCTATCGCAAGCTGCGATGCTGCTGGTCTTCACGAACAATGCTGTTGGTGCAGCAGATCGTGCCATTGTAAGTGGCTTGGCTGTGACGATAGACACCACTGGTAAGGCAATTGCCCCGATTGCAACGTCCACGCTCTTCGCTTGGTCAATCAATGCATGGGGCCTGGCGGGTCATGGACTCGTCTTTTACATTCTGGTGCCTCAGCTCTACTTGGTAGATCTTGCGGCAGGGCGGGGGTGCAGAGTCAGTGCCGTGTAGTCTCAGCAGCGATAGTGCCGTCGTTGCTGTTCTTTTTGGTACTATGGAGGCGGTCGTGATGCTGTGCCTGTACTGGCCCAATATAGGAACCTCATTAAGAAACCCTGGGCCTATAACCCCTAAAATAGTAGGATTCATAAAAGGAACCCTAATGAAGGCCCAAGGTTTCTTAATGAGGTTCCTACGTCATGCACTTGAGTCATGCCGACGTGCAAAAGGATGCGTGATCTCAGCAATCGTGATCTGGTCGACGTCAGCAGACCTCTGTAATGATGGTACTACACATGCAACTTATTTAGTATCAAGATTAGGAATAATACCAATACGTGCACTGCTGATACTATTACTATCAATAAGAGAGGTTTACAGATGACACGAATAACAATCGTAGTAATCATAACAAGAGTAGCAAGTAAAAATAATAGTATATGTGCATATATGTATATGGGGGGTCGTCAAAATTCTGGTCCCTTTCTAGGTCCAATAATACGACACCTAATATTTAGGGTACCCAATTAGGGACCATAATTTCGACAACTACCCATATATACATAGATGATATGTTCCTTGGTCTTCGCGGCCTTGATTTTTGGCGAGGCCGGGCTCTCCTTGGTGAACCTCCTTTGCACTGCGCTGCTGCCGGCTTCGGTGGAGAACGATCCCGGCCCTCCGGTGCCCAGGGGCGGTGCTGGCACGGAGTCCAGCGAAGGGACCATCTACGGCGCTTCTGAGTCCAATGAGAGCTCAGATAGCGCCGACTCGGACGCCAGATGCTAAGTCCGAGGCTCGGACGTGCCGTCGGAGCTTTGGAGGTGATGTTTCCACCTTGGTGCTCCCTGCACAAGATCGGGGAGGAATTTTCTGAAAACTATCCGATATCCTGCAGTTGGTTCGAATCCCAAGGAAGGCGGCAGGTGTTCCTTTTCCGTTACCACAACCTCCTGAGAGCTTCGCTGCTGGTTCGGAGCTTTGTAGAGGAGATTCGGAGGCTTTTTGCTCTGTCTCACAGACCCACTAGGCGAGATGTCTCGTTGTGTTTCCAAGCCAAAAAGGATAGAAGACACCGGTCTTCTCGACTACACAAACCCGAGTTAGCGCCTTAGGTGTGTGTTGGATCTGCAGGTTGCACAGTATTCCTCGCTATCACCATCATTGTCATCCTCCTCGTCCTCGAGCGCCATCGTCATCGTAATCAAGACTTCATCACACTCATAGTGCAAGTACCGCTGTGACCACCGCCATCCGCTCCATCATCACCATCACCCTCACCGTCACCATCACCATCACCATCAACATCACCGTCACAATCACCATCACCATAGTCATCGCCATCTCTATGTATTACCATCGCCGTCATCATCATCATGACCATCGCCGTCATCATCATCATCATGATCGGTTAGTACAGCGTAGTGTGCGTAGGGTTTCACCTCTGTCTCACCGCACGTTTAGGCTCAAGGTAGCTTAGTTTTTTAGGTAGCCCGGGGCTCCGCAAAGCGTGATGGTGTGGGTTCCCGCGAGGGCCATAGCAGGCGCTGCCTTGCTTACGGCCAGTACGCTGGAGAAGTCTTTTAATTCCACTACCACCACAACCCCGTTCCCGGCGATAGAGGAACCGAGTGAAGTCCCTGACCTTTGGGGGGTCCGAGGACTGATTTCGGTCCCGGACCTGTCCTGGCTACCCTTCGTGGGAGCATGGATGGAGGCCGAGGAACCAGAGCTTATCGGTACCACTTCTACACCGGAGGAACCTAGCGGTTGGGAAAGCTGGAAAGCGTTTCTCTGGGACCTTATGGTCCAGAGAGTCCTTCCGATATGGGACCTCTGCAAGGTGTATGCACAGCAATATTGTGGCCCGTTATGCTCATCAATCTTATTTGCGGTTCGCTGGACGTACTGGCTCATGGTCGGAATAGTTGGGGTATTCCTGCTGCAGCTGGGTGTCTGGACGTACACCTGGGTTGTCTTCCCAATCGTTGTGCACTCCAGAGCATTGGCCCGGTACTTCCGGGGAGACGCGCCCTGGAGTGAGGTCTCGCGACTTTTGGGAGAAAGGCCATTCAGGCCTAACTGGAAAGGTCCATGTGCTGGAGAACCGTGGTCCGTTGCATACGTGCAATCAGAGGTTAGAGGCAGGGGCCTCAATCGTCTACCGCACGATCTCCTGATTACGGATGGTACAGCGATTGCCAGACTCCGCCACGGGACCGTACGGGGCCGGACCAACCGGCACGGCTTCATTTGCGCGTGCGATGAGGTTAAGGCCTCATCCCACCGGTACTTCCGGAACCTTATCGAAGCCTCAGAGTGTCGGATCCACCTGTGCGCCCATCAGCCATGTACCGCGGAAGGAGAACCGGCAATTCACGTGGGCACCAGCGCGGTGGTACCACAAGTCCAGGAGCTGGACCTTCAGGATTTGGCCGGCAGGGGACCTTGGGCCCGGTGCGCCATTCTTACTTGGTTCTTTGGGCTTTTGTGGTGCTCTTGCTTCCGGCAAACCACAAGGCGTTTAGGTAAGTTGATCTGCGGAACTCTTTGTGGCATCTGCTGCCGAAGGAGCCCGAGGCGCGGTTCGCGCCCAGGCGCCGAGGGAGCAGGCCCCAGGCATGAAGACTCAGAGACCGAGTCCGAAGCAGAGGAAGGAAACACATGTCAGGCTGATCAGGTGGGCATGGACCTCGGTACTCCCAATGCCAAGCCCTTGGCGACGGAACCCTGTAGGGACTTAGCCCGACATCAGCCAGAGCCCCTCCTGAAGGCAGATGAGATTGTCAGTTGCCAGGAAGGCCTCAAGAAGCTCATAGATGGCACTCACGCGGTCGCCCTTTGCGACTATCACCGGGCCATCTATCAAGCGTCCCTGAAAGGAAGAACCTGCTCAGTAGAGGGGTGCCTGCAAACGCCATACCACACCAAGGGTGGAGTCAAGCTCTGCAGGCTCCATGGAGCCAAGGAGGAGCGGAAGCCTAAGACTTCGCCTGAGCCTAAGCCAGCGGATCCTTCCGTAACTTCCGGGGTTCAACTTCCCCAGGAAAGTGATAGCGGGCCTGCCCCGCCCTCGATTCTTCTGCCTAGTGCCTCCCAACTCCTCCCGGGAGTTGTCCAGAGGATGGTGTCAGGAGAGACTCTGGATGAGGCCCTCGATGGTGCTTATCGAGACCACTCAGCTGTCCCTCTCACTGGGAGTCGAGCCCTCCAAACCCTCGAAGACCTCAGGGTCGAAGCTAGAAGGTGTCTGGACGGCTCTCAGCCGGGCAGCAACCCGGATGTGCTGCAAGTCTTAAGGCTGATTTGCGGCGACTCTCAGGCTTTACCGGATCGAACACCGGACATGAAGCAGCTGCTTCAGATGCCTCACAACGCGTACAGTTCCGACGGTAAAGGGAATGTTCCGTGGGGTGTTTCACCCCCGGAACCTGACCCCGCAGGACCAAGAGACCCAGGAGATGAAGTCCCGAGGACCGTGGCGTTCACGGATTTTTCCAGGGCAGCTCAGCCCGGACCTGGCAGCTCTTCCTCTTTAGCCCCGGCCTTCCTCCAAACCCCTGCCCTTCCCGCCGCACGGTACGGCGGCCCGTTTCCCCTGGGACCCGTCCCAGGAGCGGGAACGCCTGACAATGCAATGGGAGTTGAAGGGGATTTGGTGCAGGGCTTGATGAGGCGCAAGCAGGCTTCACCCGCTTCGACCGCTGTCCGTCCACCCGATTGGTACCGAGCTGGTGCGTACACCGCTCCTCCACCGGCCTTTGCAGACGAAGCAACCAAGGCGTTGCAGGCCATTGCCAAAGCGGTTACCTCCAAAGATGAAGCCGCTTCGCAAGAGCGGGGAAAGCTCTCCTCCATTGGGAAGGTAGAAGAGAGATGCTTGTATTTGGTTCGAGGCTGCGACTCTCTCACGGTCCCCCTAGGGGAAGCAACCGTGGGCAAGGAACTTTTCCACGCCCTTCGGAACACCGCTACCCAGGACCGCCCGTTGCTGAGAAGTCTTAAATTCCCCATTAACATTACCAACAGGTTCGCTTTTGGGGTCAGTGGTCTTTGCGTGGGCGGCAAAGGAAACATTCCGGAATATTCTCTCACCACGGGAGATTTCCCCGCGACTTCCGAAGCCGAGTTCGACAGCTACTCTGTCCCTGGCGATATCAAGCTGGAGAAAAAGCCTAGAGCTCCGGCCACTTTGACCTTGTGGTACAGAAACGCCCTCCGTCAATGCTGGGCCCTCGCCTGTATCTTCGGGGTACAACATTATGGAGGATGGGAGCGAGCCGCTAGCAGTCTCCTGCGGATGGCAGAGGAGACTGCCCATGCATGGCCGCTCCATCTCATCATTTCTACGTGGGATGAGCTCTGGAGTCGGTTCATGGAAGAAGTTCGGGACATCGAACGCAAAGTTCGCCGAGAGATGGGAGAGGAGGCTCCCTCCTTTGAGAGGTTAAAATTCTTCTGCACCGCACCCGGTGTAGACGGGAATCCCTGGTTGCGTCTCCCGCAGACCTTCGAATTGGAAGACCCTCTCGAATATTTCCAGACCGATGTCCTGCCCCGGCAGCGTCGGATCTTGGAAAGAACCTGCTGGCAGCTCGCCCTCAAAGGGCCACAAGCGGGCCTCGCCGGGGGACGCGCCGGAGAGCAGGGCGACACGGGCCAGAGGACCGATACGGTCCCGGGCCCCAAGGTCGGGGCAAACACGTCCGCGCCCGCGCTCCTCGGCAAACCTCTGAGCAACAAGGAGGTGCAGAGATCTATGGACCACAGGCCGAAGTGTCAGCGCACCGGCAAGTATTTCTGTTGGGACGCCATGTCGCGCCGAGGGTGCCATGCCCAGTCTTGTTCACACTCGCACGAGAAGCCCATTCCCGGATAAAATTCTCTTGATTTCAGCGTCCAGATGCAGCTTCTCCGGCGGGGTGGCCACCTTGGCCAGCCAAAGATGTCTGGTGCAGCCGACGTTGATAAAGCGGTGGCCGTCCTGCGCAAGGCTCAGGCCGACAAAGTATCTGCTGCTGTCGCGGAAGGAAAGGCCGCAAAGGCCAAAGCCAAGGCCGCCGCCGCCGCAGCTAAGGTCGGAGCTGCCAACTCCACGGCTGAGCCCAGTGACACCCGAGCCGGATGGGCCCAACCCCCTCCTGAGCTCGGCAACTTCTTTGCTACAGACCTTGAGTCGGGCCTCGCAGAAGCCATGGCCGGCAGTGCTTTGGACTGGACGGCCAACCACTCCTCTCCACCGCTTCGAACCGTCTCTCTCCAGCAGAGCACCGAAGCTACTCGAAAGCGGGAGGCCGACATGGCGAGCGTGGAGTCTTCCGGCTTGGTCCCGGACGTCCCGCCTACGCTGGCCTGCTATTTGCGCAACCGGTTGCTGCATGTCCAAGCACCACCTGGTCCCCAGCATGTGCAGCAAGCGCTAGACGACGCCGTGCTCAAGGGCGCCCCGGAGCTCGCTGTCGAAGCGGAGGCTTTCCTTGCCAAGGTAGGCGACTCACAAGCCACGCGGGCCACTCTTACCCGCACCTCTTGGGTTGCATCCAGCGATGCCCCTGGGTCTGCCCAGCTTTCCTGGGGACCTTATGCTTGGGACGTTCTGGACTACGGGGACACTCTGGCCGTCCCCGCAGAGCTGGAAGGTATTTTGGAGCCTCGCGACGAGCCACACCCGGACTGTGAGCCGCGCCAGTGCCTACTGTTGCACGTGGCCGCTGCTTGCTTGTGGGCCCAAGCCGCCTCCGCGCCACTCAACTCCCCTCCTTTGGTCTGGCTTCTGGTCCATGAGGGTC